CCCAAAACATTGGTAAGTGATTCTAACCCATTTTCTTTCAATCTTTCACTACTTTTCCTAAGATTTCAACATAAAATCTTGTGTTTTTATGTTGGAAATTGGGGGTTTGGGTAGAATTAAGAATTTTTGCAAATTGGGGATTTAGCCCTCAAATTGAGATCGGATTCGAAACTAATTACATAGTTGGGCCTGTGGTGAATGGGTAAATGGATTTTGGTCTAAACCTCGGGTTTTGACCAAGAGGGACCGATGTCGATTTTTGACTTTTTGGCGGGAAATTGCGGAATTCTAAATATATGCATTTTAATTGATTCTTTTAGGAATATTTGATATTATTGAGTCAATTATGATTAGATACGACTGGTTTGGAGGCGAATTCTAAGAGAAAGGCCCTGTAGAGCTTTGAATTGACTGCGGAGTGAGGTAAGTGTCTTGGTTAACCTTGACTTGAGGGAATTAGGAACCCTCGGACTATGTGCTATGTGAGTTTCATGTGAGCGGTGTATATCCGAGGTGACGAGTGCTTATACGTCGTCGAGTTATCCGTTTCCTCTATTTTCCGCTTTTCCTTGATTATTTCCTTCCCTGTCTATGCATTAAATATTTTTCATGCTTAACTGCTACTTGTTAATCAATACCTTCTCCTATTATTGATGTTAGCCCTTTCATAGTTTCATGATTCCCTGTTATTTTCTTAAATTGGCTTAATTGCACCTTCAAATTGTCAATTACTAGATTGTTCTCGCTGTGTAGCATTACTTGTGTAGATTTCTATATTGTACAAGGTTTCCTTTTGGTTCGGTTTGGTATTTATGATCGTAAATGTCTTGTGGTTTGAACTGTTGATTTGACTATGCATTGAATATTTGGTGCTGATATGGCGGGATCGGGCTGTACGCTGCAACAGGTGCAATAAGGGTGGAATGATATGGTATAATAAGGGTGAATATATACTATATGGTGGGATCGGGTTGCGCGCAGCAACAACAGGAATAAGGGTGGATTGATATGGTGATATAAGCGTGATTTATGATACTGATATTGATATACGGTGGGATCGAGTAGCGTGCCACAATATTTATATATTATCTCTGTTGTTGATGTTATTAAGGTGAAATAAGGGAGGATTATGTACTCTATGGTGGGATCGGGTTGTGCGCCGCAACAACCTGTATGTTTCCATTCCCTGAGCTGTGTTTTGTTTTCAGTGTTCTCATTTGAAATGCTAAGGATTGGTAACTCTAGACGACACTGGTTCTTTTGTTCTTGTTTATAGTTGGTTGTTAAATCTTGTTCTGCATTTCCATTTTCTGTCATTATTATATACTGCGTACATGTTGTAGTGTAGGTGACCCGCCTTAGCCTCGTCGCTACCTCGTCGAGGTTAGGCTAGGCAGTCGCCAGTACATGGGGTTGGTTGAACTGATGCTACACTTTGCACTTCCGTGCAGATTTTGGAGTCAGTCCCAGCGGGAGAGCTCGAATTTGTCATCCTGCGGAGACTTGAGGTATAGCTGCTTAGCGCCCGTAACTCCTAGAGTCCCCTTTCTGTTTTGTTTTTTAGTTGTGTACCTTCTTTTCAGACAGCTTACTATTATTTCAAACCCTTGTATGTACTATTGTATTAGCTTATGCACCCGTGACACCAGGTTCAGGGATTTGTAGCAGATGTTTATAGTTTTAGCTTCCGTATTTACAACTTTGGATTATTGCAGTTGAATCGGTTCTTATTCATTAAATAATTTTAAACTGTTAAAAGATAAATTATTCTAACGTTGGCTTGCATTGCAAGTGAAATGTTAGGTGTCATCACGGTTCCGACGGTGGGAGTTCCGGGTCGTGACAAATTTGTATAGTCTAGTACCTTTATAATTTACATCAATAGCAATTTCTTAAAATATTGGAGCAAAAAAAATAACAAGTGATTGAACTAAAAGAACGTTGGGACATCTTGGATTACCTAACGGATCAAAGGATAATTTTTAAAAGTTTGCTGATGGTAGGGATAAATTTAGTCGGATAGTATAACGGTAGGGGTAAATTCGATCGAATTATATAAAGGAAGTTAAATGTAGACAACATCCGAAAGCAAAGGGAGTGTATTTTGCCCTTTTACCTAATAATTTAAGTTATATGTACAAATGAGTTTTACAATATCAAGTTATTTTTCATTCTTTCGAGATTATATAATTATTACATAAACATAAATTAAATTATTGAATTTTAAATTTTAAATTTTATACATTGACAATTTAAAAGAATTTTTTTCACTATCAGAACCTAAATAATAACTATTGGTCCCAAAAGTGAGAATAGTAACTTGAAAAATATATGAGATTTCATGCTGCAACATATTAAAAATATTATGTTAGTTTTGACCCAAAAAAAAAATAATTTATGTTAGTACTATAAAAGGTCTTTACGTCCGCAAGTGTATATAATCTTTTTTTAGGCAGTTCACTTCTTGTGAATTGAAGAATTACCTTAACATAACATGTGCTATGCTTTAATAAAGGGAAAATCCATAAGTACTCCCTGACCTATACCCGGATTTTCAACTATATACTTTTTCTTTGCGGGAATTCTATTACCTCCCTAAATTTATTTTAAATGGAATTATTAGTGTGTGTATTTCACTCTCCCAAAGGAGAGTGAGAAGCAAGAAAAAATAATTTCCAGATCTTTTTTTATTCTTTTTTACCATTTTTTCCTACTTTTCTTTTTTTCCTTTTCCTTTTTCCTTTTTCTTTGTCTTTTTTCTCATACTTTTTTTTTCCGTTTCTTCTCTAATTCCAGCGGATATTCATTCACCGGCGACTTTGTCTAACCGTTTTTCTTCCATTTTCTTTTCACACACAAATTAAACTCTCAAAAAGATCTATTCATAAGCAAAGCAAAATACATTCAGATTTGGGGGAAAAAATTCATCATCGAAAAACCTTCCCACGCCGGATAAAAAAAAAAAAGATGTATTGAAATTTTAACTGGAAAAAGTTTTCTCAGCTTATATTCGTTTTTATTTCTTTTGCTCTTCCTCCCACACATAAATTACACTTTCAAGAAAAATTTATATATAGATTAAACAAAACACACTTAGATTGGGATAAAAATCTGTCGCCGGAAAAAAAAAAAATTCGTCGGAAAAAATGGTATTTTGTGAAATTTTGACGACCACCATTTTATGCCGCCGGTGACCGAAACAAAAAAAAAAGAGAACGAAATAACAAAAAAAATGAGAATAAGAAAAATAAGAAAAAAGGATAAGAAAAAGAAGAAAGAATAAAAAAAAGTACTAAAAATACATGTGGGGGCGCGTGTAGCTCACCACTTGCCAAGAGTTTGGTTGTCTAGTTTTAAGGTGGTATTTATTTCATTTAAAATAAGATTAGGGAAGGTAATAGGATTCCTGCAAAGAAAAAGTGTATAGTTAGAAATTCGAGCATAGGTCAGGGGATACTTATGCATTTTCCCATTTAACAAACGATACAAAAAGTTTATGTATAATGATTGAGTCAAAAAATTTATATACAGTTCAATGCGTGAGTAAACTAAAATTATAATGAACCATATATTAACTAATGCAATATGAATACATGCATAGAAATATATAATAATGCCTACAGCCCTAGACCACCGATTATTTAGCCTTTAAGAAATACTATAGAGAGATAAAGCATAAGAAAAAGAATAAACATACTAATAAAGAAAACGTTAAAATATTTTCATATTAAGTAAAGAAACGTTAAAAAAAATCATAATAATATAATTTGGGTGTAGTAATAAATATCATGCTAAGAGCAAAGTAAAATTATTTAATTTTAAAGCTGGAAATAATATTCTCTTTCTTGTTTGGTGTGCGGGGAAGGAAGGATCTATCAAATATCACCTAATACTGGTCTTCGAAAGAGAATTGATGCGAATACAATTACAACACAATATGATATAATTTATTACTCTCTCCGTCCCAATTTATTAGTCATGGTACAAAAAAAAAAGATAAAATATTTTTAACTTTGACCATAAATTAGATATAGATTTTTTTAAAAATTCAAAATAAAATTTTAATAATGAAAAAGTACATATAAAATTATTATAACATATATATGAAAATTATAAATAGTAACTATAACCAATAAATTGAGACGGATAGAGTAATTTTACTTCTGTAACTAGAAGTCCTCTAGCGTCAATCTCCTCCTTAAACTTGTTGAAATACATGTTACAATCCAAATCCGCATCTTCCGTGATAATTGGCACCCGATTATTAACTTTTTGAGCGAATTATGACTATTTAATGCTTATTCAATAGTAAAATCGGATGTTCATTTTCGTTGTTGTCTCAAATCAGCCTACTACGATACGCAACAATTACAACAATTGGTGGGGAACATTTGACTCTAAGCCTGTAGTATTAAACAATCATGAAATCCATATTATCCTTCAATAGGGTCAGTAATTGCTTGGAACTATGATGAATATAACACCACTGGCACTTAGAAAGTTAAACGTCGATGAGTACACTTCTAATCATTCCAGAAATTTTGTCCTCATAAGTAGTACTCCTTCACCATGTGTGTTTGATCGTTTCTCTTCAGCTAGAAACATATATTACAACTTAGCCAGTACGCCCTGTCTCCCCTTTTTGGTTATTGAGAAAATATTTTACCATGTTGTGCTTCTTACTCGAGGGAGCGAAAGTAGTTGATTCTGTAAGAATTAATGCAATTTGTAGGAATCCAAATTTTGGGTAACGCTCTTTCGAATAAATTATGGTCTATAACTACACAGATTGTTTGAAGAGAGAGCAATGATTTATTTGTTCATAAACTAAAATGTCAATAGAATTTTCTCTATATGCAAAAGAAAGAACTTTTTTTACGGCCACAATATTAGTATCTGAATCATATTAATTTCTCTCTCTTTTCAGCTTTCAAGAGTATGAGTAGATTTAGTACTAAACCAATCATAAGAAAGAAGAAAGAGGAAAAAGAGAGCTGAGAGAGAGTTGGAGGATACGATTTTTCATTCAGAATAACAGAAATCACTACACTTGTCCTTTAAATACAGCTAATACCGCGGCATCGGATTCCACAATCTCTAACTTCCTCAACTGGACTAAATTGAAACCCGTTAAAAATTAAGTTGGGATAAACCCAACAATTAAAAACTTCTACTAAATCTAATAGGACTCAAGTGTAATACATAAAGACTATATTTACTACAACGATCAGCTACTCCTCAATAGCTACATATCACCAAATAAGCGGCAGGTACAACATCTGCAAGCCTATTCGTTACAGAAGTTCACTTGCAATCTCTAGCACAAGGGTATGGGTCTATGTGTTTAAATCCTGCTCTATCAAAATACCAATCCCCAACTGCTTCCGCAAGTGTCTGCACAGATAAAAAATTACAACAAAATCTGTTATTAACTAATAAATATTAATAAAAGGCGCATGATAAAAGTCAAAACTTAAAGTGCATATATTCACAACTTTATATGGATAAAACAAAAGAAATAAGATTACCTTATGAAGTAATCTTGGAGAGGTAGGACTGAACCAGAAATTCGTCGACAAGATTGCGCCATGAGAATGACAAGAAGTGATAAAGTAACCCCTCGTAAAAGAAGGGGTTAGTCCCTCGAAAACCTTCAAGAACTCCAGTCCAAAAGCTATAGTCAAAAGAGAAAGAACCAAATTAAAAAGAATTAGAGGAGAATACATACGTGAATGGAAGGTATGCGTTAGTTAGTCACCAGAGATTTGCTAACCTTGAATAATTAAACGCTGGCTAAATGTGCAGTTACTTATTTGTTTTTTGCAGGATTCCCAGACACGTTGAGGATCGAGGTATTCAGGAACCAAAATATTATTAATCTGCAGTCAAGAGTGTTGGATCAGTAGTGAATTTATTTTAGAATTTATAAAAACTAAAGAAAGAAACGAACAAGATATTTAAAATGAGGAAAAATAGCATGTCTCATTGACCTGCCAAGAGTCATAGGCTGAATTGATTATAAAAAGTGGAGTCTGAATATATAGAACAACATTCTGAGGGAAAAAGCACTGCACCATTATTAATGAAAAGTAGTGTTAGAGAGCAATATTTATATATATATAGCACAGGGAAAAAGATTTTTTGTTAAAAAAAAAAAAAAAAAAAAAAAAAAAAAAAAAAAAAAACCTTAAACTTTTAATTACCAGACTTGCTTCCATTGTAGACGTACAAGCCGAAGGCAAATTCTTTGCTGATCCCTATGAACGAGAGGGAAAATAAATTACTGTAGTAAAACAGAAGAACATAATTAACTTGCAACTACTTCTTAAGCATACCAAATTACTAAAAGAAAAAGAAGATGTGACTCACATGTAAAGCAACAACGTTCTCATACATCTCTTGAATATCCAAAGTGCCAGAGATTGTCCTCCTGCAAATATAATGAAATATGCCAATGGCATAGACATAAATTAGACAGCAATAGAGTTAATAGAGCACATAATGTGTAATAAGAAGGGCTCACCCATTGATGAAGAAGCCTGCATCTGCAACACACTTAACTCTGGCATCATTGGGCAAGAGGGATTTAAAGTTATCGCAATTCAAAATTGTTGCCAATCCTCCTGCTGAACTTCCGCTCAAGATTGCCTAACATTATGTTGCAAATTTTTTTTTTTTTTTTGAGTGAAGATTTAGCGAATTAGAAGAAAAGAAGCAAAATATAATAAGGTACGTACATACTACGTGACTTGTAATCATGATTCTAATTAAATACGATATTCTTACATTTTCAGCATTTTGCATTCCCTTGCCCAATAAATCTTCCATAATTGCTTTGAATATTCTTGACCCTCTAAAATACAGCTTGTTGTCCTAATGTAGATTTTTGAATTTCCAATCAGAAAAACAATATTACAGAATTAATCACCAAACCATAAGTAATATTTATCAATACATAGGAGATATATATGCAGTAGTATTACTTACGGGGTCAACTTGTTCAACATCACCAGTGAAGGATGAACCATCACAATACTTCACCCTCATCCTGTTCCAGTTGTAAAACTCTACCAATTCCAATATTGTTTGCAGTTAGAAGAAGTGAGAAATCTCTTTTATGCATACAAAGAAAAAGAAAAAGAAAAGAAAGCAAATATAACTGAAAATATATATGAACATCACCCGGATTTTGTTCGGAAGAATTAGAAAGTACCCCAGCAAAAAAGGCCCGGCGATCCATATGCTTGGAAGAACCTGAGAAATTAAGTGAACGATCAAGGCAATCGGGGATACTGCTGCACCAACCGCCAGCCTATAAATATGAAATTTCCCCCGGATTAATAAAGCAGAACATATATAGTTAAAAATTAAAAGTAAATCATTAAATAAAAAGAAATAAGTAGTAACTAGTAACTAACATCCAATTCGATAATCCAGCTGCTCAGCCCGCTACCATGTCCCGGATGCAGATGATATGCTGGTGGACTTCCATCAAGGCATACTGCAGTTGGCTCAAAAACAAAATAAATACGTGCATGTGATTCTCTTAAAATTTCTGCTACAACTTCAGGAAGATTACCTGCGCCTTTGGCAGTCGCGCTGTGCAATATTGTAATGTTGACGTAGAGTCCTTCATCTCCGGCGCCAAGAGTAGTAGTTATAGACACTACTGCCAGACATGCTAGCAAAGCCAACGGAAATGTTAAGGCCATCCTGAAAAAAAAAAAAAAGAAGAAGAGTAAATTCTACAGGTAATAGGAAGAGTAGAGGCAAGGCATGAGTTTCAGTTAAAACAGTGATACATGAATGAAGATTACATGTTGTTATCAGCAAGAATATTTTTCTTCTTACAAAGGCTGAGATGAAAGGAGATTTTAATTAGAGGGAGAAAGTAAACAATGCTTATGAGTACACTATAGAAGTAGAGGTGAATGAGCTCTATTTATAAGCAAACGTCCCTCAGTAAACTGCTCGCTTTTTCCTTATTCTCTAAAGTTCTTTTATTCATATTTTGCTCAAAGGTGTGATACAAAAGAATAGTGGCTTAAAGCCAAATATGAATATGAGACCTTTTTTCTATAGTGTCTATCTTAATTCAATATATTTTTAAATAAAAAAAATATTAACCCAAATAGCCACCCACTTAATCTCTTAAATTAAAAATAGTTGGTGGATGTATAATATATATATATGATTCATATATAATATATGTATAATTGTGTATTGTCAATATATAATCTATGTATACTAACTAGAAAAGGTAAGCACTCAATATGACTGACTATTTGTGTAACAATCCTCATACATCAAATTCCTGCAATTAGTAACTATTACTGAAATATGGGGCCTCAAAAATTGGAGGCCCAGTTGCCTTAGTGACTTGGTGAATAAGAGCCGGCCCTGTTCTAAACTAGTCTATCAAATTTGGCCCCAGCCCTAACGACCCGCCCAACCCGCCTAAGGTTGTGATGGTCATTGACCCGCCCATATATTGACTTCAGCCCATCTTTGACCCAACCCATCTCAAATCATTTAAAGTTAGGAAGATTTTTAGCCCAAATTGATCAATGAATAACTTAACCAAAATATCTTTAAAATAATTTGTTTTTGTTTGATATGTTATATAACACAATAACAAAAAAGAAAAACATTATTTAGTAATTATAAAATTCATAAGAAAATAACACATATTAAGTAAAGCTTGATAAGAGTTGGGCGGGTTGGGCTATGACCCAAATTTTCGTCCATCTTGACCCAACCCATCTTAGCCCAAGTAACTTTTGGGTGGGTTATTTGACCCACCTAATTATTGAGGCAACCCATTTTAATCCGCCCAAAATCGACTCAACCCGCCCATCTGACACCCCTATTTTAAACATTATTACCGAAATTATGAAATTGAAGAACAACAATTAGATTTTGATGTTATAAAAAGGTCATCCTATGCAATGCTACTATATTAGATTTTGATGTTTAAGGGGAACTCTACATCCAAGAAGGACCACCCTATTATGTGTAATGGTACAAACAATTAATAAATCTATCTTTGTCTCTATCAAAAAATTCTTTTAAAGGAACTCATACAGTATGGCATTGATCAGTCTCTTCATATCTTCATTCAAGAAAATTTCACTTCTTCAGTAATAATTGATAACCTTTCCATTAAAAGATAATTATAACTCATAAATTAACCTACATGACATGTGATATAAGTTTTTTAGGATTCATTTATTGTGAATTGACCTCTACACAACATGTGATATGCTTTAACTGAAATTTTGAACAAAAAAATCCATATGATGATTTATTTTGAATAGAAAATTTTACGTATGTAAAGGGTTAATGAGCAATTAAGCTAAAATAAATATTGAAAATTTCGTGAAATCTATATATCGGACAAAATAGTAATTTTATTATTTTTAAAAAAATTGAGGAGTTAAAATCACCTAAAATTATGACATAATTTTTTTCCTTATATCAATAATATAGGAACTCCTAATATTTAGAAATTTTTAAGTATTTAGAAAAATTTACTTAAATTAATATTTATCAATAACTGTGCAAAGTAAACCATGTTAAAATTTAATCTTTTTAATTAATTTTTAAAATATGTAATATTAAGCATGTTCAAAGTAATACCTGATACTAGGGGTGTGCGTATGTCGGGTTTGTTTGGATTTTTTAATTACCAAACCAAGCCAATTGTATCGGATTATTAAATCTAAAGACCAAACAAAACCAACAAAAGTTGAATTTTTAATCTCGATGTTACTCTGATTTTTCGGATTTTCGGATTTTTCGAATTTTTTCAGGTTTTTCCATGTAAAGTCTTCATCGCATAAAACGTAGAATTTGTGCTCCAAATATTTTTTTTAGTCCTAGTAAGGCACAACTACATAAGGTGTTTTCAAGAAAATAACATAAAATATGAGATGAGTCATGAAACTGTACTAAAATATTCAACAATAAATATAATAAAATCGCATAAAACAAATATTGCTAATAAATAAGTTGTAACATAAATGAATATAATCTAAAAGTACTAAGTTATGCTAAAACTAGTATATTTAATAAGTACTACTCTCTCCGTTTCAAATTAAATGAGGTAGTTTGACTCGGCACGGAGTTTAAGAAAAAAAAAGAAAGACTTTTGAAATTTGTGGTCTTAAAAACTTAAGGGGTAAAGCTTTGTGGGGTCATGACTTTTGTGTTGTTATAAAAGCTTCTCATTAAGGGTAAAATGGGTAAAATGAGGAGTTTAAAGTTGAATTATTTCCAAATTTAGAAATGTGTCATTTATTTTGGAACAGATTAAAAAGGAAAGTACCTCATTTAATATGAAACGGATGGAGTATTAATTACATGACTAAACTCTAAAGAAAAAAAATAAACTAAGTTATGCATTTTATCTAAAATATGGGAAACTAAAAAATAGATATCCAACACTATTATTCTTCCCAGTATTGAATTGAATGTCTTCTGTTAACATTAGTATTTGTCACTGTGAGCACGTGATTTTTGCCTCACATGAATTACTCCTACAGAATCCATTGGATTTTTCTTTTAATTATTTGTTATTTTAGAAACTATTGTAGAATTTTTTTTGATTATTTGCATTTTTGTGTGCATGTTTAATTTTTATTTAATTCTTGAAAAATACAAAAATACATTGCATTTGCATTTAGGATTTAATTTTTGCATCTTAGTATTTAATTAGTAAATTAGTTGTTCTATAAAATATGAAAAATCACAAAAATAGTTCATGTTGCATTTTAACTCTTTAATTTTGAATTTCATACCTTTGTCTTTTAATTTAGGACTTAATTAATTATTGTAAATATTATATTGAGTAATTAGCGTAATTTGGTAGGTTAATTTGGTTTTAAGATTTAATTTAGGTTTTATTTTAATTTGGAAAAAAGAAAAGAGAGTTAGAAATTGAAAAAAAAAGAAAAGAAAAGGAAATAAAGAATAGGATTTTGGGCTCTTTTAATTAAATATCCCCTGGCCCAATGTATTTTCCCCCATTACCCGTCCAAACCAGGCCCAAATAGCCCCAAACCCGCATTTTTACCCGGTCCGCCCCACTCAATGACCAAACGACCCCGTTTTCAGTTCCCCCAACATGAGCCGCTGATCTCCCTCGATCCAACAGTTGGGAACTGGGTTGCTTGACAGTATATAACTATCCGAACGGTCTGATCCCCCCCCACCCCCCCCCCGTTTCCATCTCTCATTCCTCACCGTCTTCTCCAGAGAACAAAGAACCCTAGCGTCGCCCCCAAATCCTTGCTATCTCCGGTGGCTGTGCCACCTCCAATCCGCCCCAAATTAACGCCATAAAATCCTCACAGCTTCCCCTTTCCCAATCTCAAAACCATTTCCCTCGAATCTTTCCATATCTTCTCGAATCTTGAATCTGAGTTCGAAATCCTAAAAGCCCAAAATCAATTTCCGTTGAATCTGTCGGCATGCATGACCATAGGCTTCCGATTCTTTCGAGTTTTTGAAGTTTGATTCAACGTAAATTGATGCTGTTCATTTGTTCTTGACAAAGAACAAGTGATTAGCATCAGTTTCGTTTAAATCAAGGAGTCCAGTGTTGGTTTCGAGTTTGACTTGGTAAGTTTTCTTCCTCTTTCTGTCCGTTTTTGTTTGCTTCACCTCTTATTCCTCTTCTTTTCTTCTCCCTTTCTTTAGTTAGTTTTTACTTTGACTGAAATTCGAGCAAGGTTCTGAACCTAGGTTTTCCCTCTAGATTAATTTTGTGTTCGTATTTGTTCCGTTGGCTTTTTAGTTTTCTTTTCAAATCTTAAAAGCTTGTTCTCTGATTTTTGTTGGCATGTTAGCTTTTATTCATGCCATGTTAAAATCCTGATTTTGTCTTTCTTATTTTAGTTTTATAGTCAACTTAATTAGGTCATTTCGATTTAATAACCTTGTCAATTCTATGCTTATTTGAGTTATTAATCAGTCGCTTAGTTTATGTTGTTTAGTTTTGAAATCATTCAAAGTGATGATTCTTCTGTTTCTCATTGAAATAGCTAAAATGGATTTTTGATTTTTGTTTGGGCCTTGGGGTCAATTCTGACCCATTTTCAAAGAGCAGCCCATTAATTTGGGTTAAGTCTTGGATCAGATTTGACCCATGAGGTAGGCTGGGGTAATTGACAAGGGTTTAAGGGTTAATTTAGGAATTTTAGGTTAAGGAATCTTGTATATCTGACTGGGGAAGCTTCCTGGAAGGTGGGTTTGGGGCTGATTTTGAAAAAACTGATTTTAAATAAAGGGTACAGTAGCAAAAACGAATATTCCAAAGGGAGTAAAGGGCAAAAGTCTGAACTCATTCTGCTGCCCTAAAACTTCACTATAAAAGGGCAATTGCTTCACTCTCAAGTCAGATTTTTGGAGAGAAGGGAGAGATTAAAAAAAAGCTGAAAATTTAGAAAAAACGGCAGAACCTTCAAATATTGAAATCCTTGCAATTCCTGGTAAAAAAAAACTGGTTCAATGTCCTATTTGTTCTAGTATCTGAAATCTGCAAAGAGGTTCTGGTTCATTTATGGGTTTGAGATTGGTTTAAAGTTTGGTTGGGGCTGGTTTAAAAGTTTGTTTTTTGCTGGAGTTATTGCTGTTGCTTCTTCGTTTGCTGACTTACTGCTGCTGCTTTCCTCTTAAATTTCAAGCTCACTTTCCATGTTTTGATTGCTGTAACCAGGTACCTCTTTGGACCTTTTATCAAATGTATGAAGTCTGAATTTGAAGCATTGATTGGAGATGTAGATCTTAATCTGGTTGATTACATATGTGTATTATCAAATTTATCTTAGTTATACATCAGTCTATGCTTCATTATATCACTTTTTGTAGTTGTTTATGCCCTAAATGTTAAAAATGTGTAATGACTTTGTATTTAGATTTTAGGTT